AAATATGTTAGCTAAATTGGAAAATATGTTGGCCATTTGGCATGGTAGGCAGTTGGGGGAGACAATCATCCCATTGAGTTAATTGCAGGAAGCACTCTCAGCTGCTCAGATTATGTAGGCACTTCACTTCTATGGCCACTTGTGTCACAGAGTTTGTTTTTATATTGTACACGGAAATTATGATTTACATTGTAATCAAGTAACAGCATAAATGATTCAACTTAAGGCCAAAAAAAAAAGTCTCCGGTTTCTGGTATGGAGCTTGCCCAAAAAGTGGTGCGGCGATGCGGCTTTTTTTTTTTTTTTACCTGACTTTTTTGCTTCAAATGTCGGCTGATGACTGCAAATGGTGCCCGACTAAACTGAGTGCAAATATATGGGAGTCCAGAGAGGCCACATAAAGCTTATTCTCGATCATAACCCCATCTAAAAAAACATTAAAATTGTGCAGCAGCAGGATTCCAGTCAAACCAGTGAGTTTGGCGGTTTTGAGACATCATCTTTCATTGAAAAAAAAACTGTTTCATTTTGCCGACGCGCATGGCTACGGCGATGCGCGCGCATACCAGAAACCGGAGACTTTCTTTTTTTGGCCTAACCGCCCACAAAAATACATTCATTTGACAAAAAGAGGGTAAGGTTTCCTACGCATCATTATCTAGTAAATTCTTACCATTGAATAGGAAGCAAAACTATCTTCAAAATTCAAATAATGTTGAATGTAAGAAATTGATATGCGCTGGACTTTGACCTGTGAGTGCTGGAACACTATACATGGGTTCCAGTGGTAGCAGCTTCGAATCCCGCTCCAGTTAATTTTCTTTAAAACTGAAAAAATGCTCTGACAATTTAAAAATAAAAGACCCACAAGCAAAATGACCTTCCAAATGTACGTGTTCATATGTAAACTTCTGCAGTGTGAATTTAAACCCTCCTATGCAAACATGTATTTCTGTGCCAAGTAGTCATATCAGTCAAAATCAATCAAGTGACTGTTTTCAACAGTTAAAAAAATTCCCAGCCTACGTGAGATTGACTGCCCGTGACTGTTTAAATGTAGCTCGATATAGCTTTTGCTTTGGCTGTGGGTGATTGATAAGCCAGCTGTGCCCACAACTTGCCTGCTTTGTCTGTTCATGGTCTGTTGGCTGAGTTTGACTATTCAAAGTGCTTGCTTGACATGATCTGACTGTCAAAAAGTATAGCAGGGGAAGTAGTTAGAAGTTTTGACTGTCTGTGACTGTTTAAATAACAGGAAGGTTAATAATAATATAAGTCAAGTATAACCCCTTGCTTATAAAATCACACGGCCAACATTTCACACACCTTTTTGAAAGTTCATTCACACCCAAGGGTCTATAAATTAGGCATTCAACATGTCATACCATGGTACCAAGTTAGAAACCTCCCCCACACTAAGGTTCATCATGAAAACATCGATAGCTGTGGATGGCCCCTTGCACCAAAGGTGTAATACGTGCACAGGTTTACCATCCAGGGAAAAGCTTTTTTCTGCTTTAAATTTCAGTAAACAAAATTAAAAAAAATATGAGTATTTTTAATTTGTCCATAAATGTCTCTTTTTTTTATACAAAATGAACTAAATCAAATCTGAATATAACCATTTCTCTAGAATATTTTTCGAATAGAAAAACATACATAGCTAGAGCACAAAGTTAACTTCAGTAAAATGAAATTTTTCACACATTTTACAACAGTCTCTGACTGAGTTACGTGGCTATTGAGTTTAACATTGAAGTTTCATTTAAATACCATGCAAAATTGTCTATCATTTTATCTGATATACACTTGAAACCAATCTTCCCTCATATCAGGGGTAAATCTGTTTTTCATGGCAATATTCTCTGAGGCAATGCCCAGTTAATCCCCTGTTCATTTTTTTTAAAAGCCGATCATTCCGATATTTACATTGACCTGGAGCATAGAGGAAATAATCCAGCGATACTTGACAAACAATCTACACCCGCGAGCTACTTCCTTTAGCAAAAGAATCTCCTGCTTTCTCTCTGGAATTTTGATATAGTCGGCTTACTTGGTCAAATGATCTTCCCGGATGCCCGCAGGCAGGGGGGACAAAAAAAGAGAAGGGATGTGTATGCGTTTGAACTAAATCCACAAAATCGATGATTCGGTATGAGACGGACGTTTGGACTGCGCGCGTGCGTCAGTGCTTTGGATGTTTGTGCAGGTATTATTGACGTTTTTTCTTCACTTCAAGTTTATTATGTTTCACAGGTTACTTCTGGCCATTGCCTTTTTCTTTTTACTTTTTTTTTAACAGTGTATAGTATTTTGTTACACTGGCAAAGATAACGTCATCGCTCTGTACACGTGAAGCTCGTCTTTCTTGTCAAAACTTGACGCACTTGTTTGTGTAGGGGACTGGCAATGCTTCGTTTTTGATTTTCCTTTTTTCTTCAGAGAAATTTTTTGGTGAAGGAATATGTAAGGTATTAAAAGGTCCAGTCTTTTACTTTTTAATTTTGGAAGAGGATAAAGTTGCCTGCCCCCCCCCCACCCCCCCCCCCTCCCCCGGCCCCTCCCCTGTCAAATTTTGTTTTTATATATCTAGCTAGATGGCTTACACAAGTATGTATTTAAGTGGCAACTCTTTCAATACTATGAAACTATACTGCCTCAAAGTTTTGTAGTACACAAATATTGAATGCTTCGAGTGGTGTAGTAAAACTAGCCTCCAGAGGTGATCCATGGACATTCTAATTTCCCGAGGCGAAGCCGAGGGAAAATAGTATGCTCCATAGTACATGTACTTTGGTTGCTACGGGTATAGTACTTTTGGCCGTGCACAGAAAGATAGCAAAATTAGAAAGTAACATGTGTCACATGTTACTTTCTGTGACTCGCTCTCGGCCAATCAAGACACAGAATCTGTGGGTGAGGTGTTAGTTTTGGTTTTGGTTTAATTGTGCTTCAGCAGTTATAAAAACACCAATTCAGTGCTGGGCCTCGCTGCTTTATCAGTCGCAGTGAAGTGCAACGAACCCTTGAACCTTTTAAAGTGAGTGACAATGCTCCAGAAGAATGCAGATGATGAAGTATTCAGATGCTACTTTAGATGGAAAATCCCACCCCTAATGCTTATGAAAATGCATTAGGCCTAGCTAGCCAGAGACTTCCCAAGCTATAGCATGAATTAAATATTGTCTGCGGAATATTTTTTTTAATGTTAACATACTGGACCTACGTATTTTTTCAATGACTTACATGTTTTCATAAATGTGTAGCCGGCAACAGGGGAGTTGGTTTGTTCAGCAAGTCCCATTCCTTTTGTGTTGCTTCGTTCTCATTATTGCATTATCAAGGGGACTCCCACTCCGTAGCCATGTAGCCGGCAACAGAGTAGTTGGTTTGGACTTTGAATTTTTTTAAGCAACCCCATTCCTTTTGTGTTGCTTCATTCTCAAGGGGACCCCCACTCAGTATCCGCGTAGCTGGCAATGGACTTGAATTGTTTCTTTCCCAGTGATTCCAACCACGTAGGGTGTAACTCCGAGTGGCGGGGTATTCTGCAATTACTCCAGGGCATGCACAAGCAACTGGAGATTGTTATTACGTCACTGATTTAAGCAACTTTTTCCTTGAGGCCAGGGTTATTGCTTTTGCTATGAAATAGACGGAGGCATGGGCGTCGCCAGGATTTTTTCTAGAGGGGGGCAAAACAAAAATTTTTGCCAAAAATGCTTGCATTTCTCAACATATTCTCAATTTATAGTGGGGGGCAGGGACATGTTGCCCCCCCCCCCTCCCCCCCCCCCCCCCCAAACTCATTAAATTTACACCACTTTGTCTTCCTGCCTCTGTTTCTTTTCTTTTTTCTCTTTTTTTTTTCTTCTTTTTTTTTTTTTTTTTGCTTTTCCGGGGGGGGGGGGGGGCAAGTGCCCCCCTTGCCCCCTCCTCGCTACGCCCATGGACAGAGTCTCTGTTACTAGCACAAAATCAGCTGTTCGTGAAATTGGGCCCAGATGGCAGATTTACACTGGTAGGACCGACCCCAAGTAATTCGGTGTCGACATTTTTACAAAGTTATAAATCACATGACAGTATGTTAATAAAATAAGGGAAAGATTCCCATATCTGGCCATCACTAATTTTTCCCTTCAGTGGCCTATCAGCCATCAGAAAGTGATACATATGTCCTAAAAAGTCAAATTTAGCAGGGAAAATATTGAAGCATTTACTGACAAAACACTTCAAAATTTTCAGACCAGTTTCGTAGGGTTTGTGCACAGGTAGCCCCATAAATGTGGCCTATTTACTGGACTGCCTCCGTAAACATAGGCCACACATCCACATGTACAAAAATCGTGTCGACGGAGCCAAATTTTGATTTTCACATTTAGGCTTAGTTTGAAGGTTTTTTTTGCTTTAGAAGCATACTCACCCTCTTTACAGGCTAATCAGAAAGTGCTGCCTTTTTCAGATGTCTAACTTTTGTGAAATTTCATGTTGAAATTTTGATACGCAAACGTGTAAAAATGAATCTGGAAATTTCACGAAAAATATTCATCTGAAAAAGGCAGCACTTTCTGATTAGCCTGTAAAGAGGGTGAGTATGCTTCTAAAGCAAAAAAACCCTACAAACTAAGCCTAAATGTGAAAATCAAAATTTGGCTCCGTCGACACGATTTTTGTACATGTGGATGTGTGGCCTATGTTTACGGAGGCAGTCCAGTAAATAGGCCACATTTATGGGGCTAGTGCACAGGGTGACAAGTGATGGCCAGATATGGGAATCTCTCCAAAATAAGTAAATAACTTGACAGCAAAAATAATCCAAAAAGGACCAACATTCAAAAATGTAGGCCTACAAGTTACTCTGAAAAAAATCTAATCAGACAGCCAAGAATGAAATACAAAGCAAATTTTATAAACTGAACAGAATAAGATTAAGAGATTGAGCGATTTCTTCTTAAAATAGAAACTAAATTGAAAGGTAGGCCCCCGGTGTCTATACTTACCAATTCGTGCTGCCCTCCCTGTGCAACGCCACCGAGTAGCCAAACATGCTCCCCGCCGGCCCAGAATGCTTGACCGGCCACTGGGTGTCCAAATTCTGCCCCCACGCCAGCGCCAGAACAGCGGCCAGCTGCGGGAGACACCGCGCCAAACTCCCCATAGTCCGCTAGACGTGTGATCCTCGTGCGTGGGACACCGCGAAACACTTCAATATCTTCACGTTCACATGGGAAAATTGAACCAAACAAGATGCTTCCTCCGCAGGTAGTGCAGCCAGAAAATCCCAATGGGAGACTCTGGGAGGCCAGAACACGAACTACAAATCCAATTCCAACCAAGCACTTCAACAACTCGTGGAATCGTGGAACATTAACAAAACTACGACTTAGTGCTGCGAAGTACGAGTCATTGGTTCATGGTGTTAAGGTCCAATCATTTAGCAAGGAACAGATGAGTCCAATGTAAACTTTCTGGTGGGTGTGTACTTTTGGAGTACAGTTATTACGTGTCTAGTCTGCGCGCGTGAGGCCGGCGGTACCTGCCTGCATACACCTGTGCACCGTTTTCCCCTATTTATATTCAAATTACCGACCGCACGAGGAATGTCTCAAATGTCAATGAAATACACCGTCAGCTTTATACCATCGCTAGTGCAATAATATAATAGAGAGTCAATCAAGCGTGAAGTTGAACAGTTGAGCATGAAGAAGAGGCAATTCTTGGTGGCGCTTGTTCGATTTTTGGTGTGACTTTTTCGGAAAGTTTAAAATTTCATTCTGTTTTTTTTTTACCAAACTGTCCAAAGTACGGTGGCTGATTTCTACGGTGGCTGATTTCCGCCAAGAATACATTTTTTATTTATTACGGCGTTATAACGCCATAAATTATCGCGTTATAACGCCGTATTATCGCGTTATAACGCGCTATTATCGCATTATAACGCGCTATTATCGCGATATAACGCACTATATAGCGTTATAACGCCCTAATTTACCGCGTTATAACGCCCTAATTTATCGCGTTATAACGCGCTATTATCGCGTTATAGCGCCGTAATTTATCGCGTTATAACGCGCTATTGCGGCGCCATAATTTTACAGTATTGCTCCCACAATGCAACACGGTTACATCATCAGTACATGAGTCTTTTGGGTGCAATTGGCGCACAGGTTATTTGAATTATTGGTGATCATTGCCATAGAATGACCAAATCTGACCCTATCTGATAGGATTGACTTAAGCATAATGTACGTTACTGAAACTTACACATTACTCCAGTTTAAAAGTGTTTTCTGTTTTCTTTATGAGAGTTTCAAGTTGAAGTGTATTCTTTTGAAAGAAATATACTACCCGTATTTGACCCTATCTGATAGGATATAGACTTAGCATATGTACGTTATTGAAAGTTGTTTTCTGTTTTCTTCACAAGAGTTTCAAGCTGAAGTGTGTTAATGTTTTCAAAAAAATATGTAACCCTGCTGATAGGATAGACTTAGTATGAGGTCTTTTTCCATTTTGAGAATCCTGACGTTTGTCGATCATCTTTGTGACTGATACTACGCTTAAATAATGTTTGACGACCTTGCAGAGCCTGGTATTGAGGTTCCTGCAGAAGTCATGCAGGACCTGCTAAAAATATTGCATCTTGCTTAAAAGCCTTACAATAGTTTATATATAGAGGTATAATAAGTTTGGGTCATAGCTACATTAGCTGCACATGGCATGCATGTAGTTTTTATATATCTATATTACTTTTTTGGTTACTATAGATTGCTAAGCAGACAGTAAATCTCAAAAAAATTATGCTCAGCCTCCGACCATACACCCCTCCAAGCACCAGTCTCGAAGTTGGTTAGAGGGCTGAGGATAATTTTGGGGGAGATTTACGGTCTTGGTATTTTATCGAGCAATGTATAGTTACTAAAAAAGTAAGAGGTTTTTCACCGGCAGCCACATGTAGCCACCTCTTTGTTATCATGCAGCAGGCCTAAGTAAGCGCCTCCTGCTCAATTAGCCTTTATGATTTAGACCACTTTGGTAAGCCACCCTTTTGTTAAAGCTCTGGACAAGAGAAACTCCAACCAGCAAGAGCATCACTGACCTATATCTGTAAAGCGATTGTTAATTGTTATATAGTTTAATTATTACGCATGCATGTTTTCAGATATGTACGTTATTTAAAGTTACCCTTGTTAGTATATTCGAGTTACTTTGTAGTGTTTGCTGTTTTCTTCATCTCAGGAGTGTCAAGGTGAAGCGTGTTATTGTTTTGAAGCATATACCTGACCATTTGGTAACTTTCTTAACAAAGTCAGATACATGTGAAGATAAGATTAAAACGGCGTTATAGACATTCCAGCTCACCGGGCATTGTCTTCACTGTATTTTGCTATTTCCATCAAATAAGAATTTTGTGCTCAGTGTTAGTTTAATCTGGCACAACAAAGGGACTTGAAAGCTGTTAACGACGTAGGGAGGTAAAATATAAAAAGTGGTTAATAAAACGTTTACAATAACAAACTCGACAAACAGCCGAGGGGTAGCACTGAAGTGAACAGAAACTGTCCACAGAAACAGGGTTTCTCGATCCATTATGCATATGCGCCAGCTCAGAGCTAGCCTGGTCCATATAGTGACATTCCAATTTCAGAAAGAGACAAGAGGTCCTCAATCATAAAATCGTTGATAAATCATACATAAACAATAACAAAAGACTGGATCTGTTAAACACAAGCATATATTTATTCTTAAAACACTTTGTAAATAATTTGTAAACCTCAAATCTCAAATCTGTTACAAATTTATTTAAACCTCGATAGCTCTCAGCCGAAAATATACTGTGGATGTAGGCCTAAGTCCTATTTTGGACTAAAACCTCGCAGTGTCATTTCTACATGACCAGGGGTTACCTCTACGCCAACCCACTGTCTTTCCTTTGTAGGGCCTATACACAAGATAAAGTTCAGTGCAGGATCTGGTGTTTCTTTATTTTGCTATTATATATAACAAGCTGATTTACCCGATCATAGATCGGGTAGGGCGTAGTGTTGGGGATGAAAATGTGGGGAGTTAAATGTTAATGGGGGATATAGTTGGGAGACATGCAGTTATAGTAAAGCAATTTCTGTGGTGTGATCTGAGGCAATTTCTGTAGTACACAGGCGAAGGCTGATTGTACAGTTTTGACAATAAATCATAATGCAATAAACCGTGAAGGTGTCATTTGAAATGAAAATGAAAACGGTCTGAATCATGGAGGAAGGTCATAATTAAGTTTCAGTATTGTTCTCTTCAACAAACGTAAACTTGAACTTCTTACAATTTGCGAGACCGTCTGCGAGGAAAAAGTCGAGTCAACTTTTATTCAAGTTGGTTCAACCATCTATATAAGAGCAAGTTTTACTCGGCCTCCGAGAAATGTTTGCTCCTGAAAGGATCCGAGACCGCGGCTTCACGTCCGTGGAAAAATGTGGAGGGTGTGTTCCACCGGGTCGGACACTATTTTGTCGATTTTTTGTGACAGCGTTTAAGATCGCGGTATTTGAAGCAATGCATCGATCCTTCGTTGATCCAAAACAGGCCCCCATTACAACGCGACACTGAATTATACGTGGCGGGCAGCGAACTCACAACGGTCAGCCTTGGTGGATGCATGGGGCTGTAAACACATGATGGAAGCAACAGAGCACTATACACGTCACTCACATGCTTGTGCTTCAAATCATGCAAATAGCGAGCACCGTAGACTCAACCTCGTTTCCAGGGTGTGGAGCAGGCTGCAGTACGCGTTGCCATCGACAGTTTTGCATAGCCCGGAAATACTACGCAGTGTAGACTTTCGATTGGTCAGACCGCGCAAGGCATACTTAATGTGAAGTCCTTCTGAGTATTCGTTGCACTCGGCGCAGGGGCGGCAAGCGAAGCATATGAAAGAATAGGGGCACTTGGTGGCCACGCACCATGGAGAAAAAAATATTTTACCAAGGTCACCCCATAACACAATTTGGTGAACGCTTTTGCAGAAGGGCTGAGTAGAACACGTAAACGGAACCCCTACGTTGACCTCGCACAGTCTAGACACGCAGAGAAGCCAGCACAGGGGGCGGCCAGGCAGTCAACGTGAAAGCGCACACGACGGCAAATTCCTGCGAAAAACGCAGTCACGAAAAATCGACGAAAAGGATCGCCGGTCCGTACAGGAAAATCAGGACGACCCGAAGTGTCCGACCCGGCGGAAGACACCCTCCGCATTTTTCCACGGACGTGGAGCGATTTTCGCGCAGCGGGAGCCCGCGGTCTGGGATCCTTTCATGAGCAAACATCGTCTCGGAGGCCGAGTTAAACTCTCTCTTATATATATAGATAATCAATGGGCTCAAGTTGGTTGTGTGAGGCAACATGTACAAGTACATACATGGTTCGCCTTTTTTAGTAGCATTCGCGTGTCGTTTAATTTTAGCATACACTGCAATTGAGGCTACTTCGGGTAGGTACCGTACTGTTTTGTCTCACAAGCCCTTTCAACTTCATCCCACAAGCACTTTAAACACCGATTTCTCTTCTAACATGTTCCCTGAGGTTAATGTACAAGTTCATCGCAGCTTCAGGTTTTCTAGGATCTTCCCATCCGTTGGTAATGAGTGATTGACAACAGTATTCAAATAACTCCCGATCACATGGAAATCGATCCTTGAAGTTGCATTCTTCTCTGCACAAGTCAATTCTCTCTTGTTCCACGGGTTTGAGATGATCCCTGGTTCCATAGACCTCAGGCAGCTGGAACATGAGCAGCGGTCGTCCATGGGTCACATGCTCTTGCTTCGATTTCCTGATCAAGTGTCCATCCCACACCTCTGCAACTGCGTCGAGATCACCCTGCAAAAGATGTGCAGACTAAGGCGTAAGACATTCTTGATTAATTAAACCATAATCGACGATTGAACTCCATTCTAAATGTACAAGAACATAACACCCATCACAATGTACACTCTTTTGGTATATACAAAGGCGGATCCAGGTTCATGGATATCACCTTCAGGAATACATTAGAAATAAAATACCAGGTTCAACGCAAGGAACTGTCTGGCACACCCACAGAGGGGTGGAATTATACACTCATCAGTGGACTTTTAATGTTACATGCTGAAAATGTGGTCGATGACATTTTCTCACCTGGATGTGTTTCATGAAGACAAATCGGATAAGTTCTTTGTCCATCACATCTCCTGTGAAGAAGCCTTCTTCTAGCAGCCACCGGAAAAGAGTCCTCCAAAACTCCGTGCATTGCTTTCTAAGCTGCCCCCACCAGGACTCTATTCGCTGATTCGCTGTACTTCGACCAGTTAGGTAGCTCTTATCGCCACCAAGTGCATCGTCGTGATGTCTTAGAAACCTCTGGAATGCTCCCACATGTCCGTTTTCCGTTCCCCTATCACTCCGGACGAGGGTGGGACATCCTCCAAGTCTATCCACCGCCTTCAAGAAGAAGCCCCTGATGTACTCAGGGTCGTTGGTTGTGCTGTTTGCCTCTAGCCAAATTATTTTCCTGGAGAAACCATCGATACAGCCACTGATCCCAATACCGAACGGTTTCAGTTTGTCCATCGCGTCCAAATGCCACACAAAATTAGGTCCGCGGCCAGAATATCGACGACGTACTAATCGCCGTCTCTTTCGAAGATTTACCCCATCTGGGTCAAGCTCCAACAACGTCCTTCTCACAGTTTCTCTGCTGGCAACCATGCCTGCTTGTAATAACTTGTGATGCATCCAACGATAGCCATGTAATTCGCCCGATGCCTGCAGTTGCCTTTCGATAAACCTTCTTACTTGGGCCATGTCAGTTTGATTTTTATGACGATATAACTCCAGGCGCTGAAGTTCTCTTTGCAGCTGACGAACACTCAGATTGATGTTATAACGGGACGTTAAAGTTGCCGCAATTTCCACTTGAGAATATCCAAGTTTAAAATATTTCTTGATCAGTTCATCCATGTCATCCATCTTCAAGTACAAAGTGCGCTAGTTTAAATTGGAAAAATTATGTTCACGGTTAGGTTACAATACTAACCATTCTATGAGGATGAGAATGACAAGGAGTGACGATGCCGTGGCGATGCGGTGGCAATAAAGGCTGTAATAACATGATCGCGTTGTTGTGAGAATTCAGAAGAACGGTGCATGGCGAAAAATACGAGGTTCCCGTTCAAAATCACTTAAACAGTACAATGTAAGGACGATAATAGCGCGTTATAACGCGATAAATTAGGGCGTTATAACGCGATAAATTAGCGCGTTATAACGCGATAAATTAGGGCGTTATAACGCGATAAATTAGCGCGTTATAACGCGATAATAGCGCGTTATAACGCGATAATACGGCGTTATAACGCGATAAATTAGGGCGTTTTAACGCGATAAATTAGGGCGTTATAACGCGATAAATTAGGGCGTTATAACGCGATAAATTAGCGCGTTTTAACGCGATAATACGGCGTTATAACGCGATAAAATTATTTATCGCGTTATAACGCCGTAATAAAAAAAAATGTATTCTTGGCGGAAATCAGCCACCGTAACTCCGACATCATGCCCTTGTAGCTACCCCGACTTTGCGTAGATTGCAGTGATGGTTGCGCAGACAAAACGGGAATCGGTCTCTGTTTGTACATTTCCAGTTCGTGGTCAAGGCCGGGATGCAGCTGTACGTAGAGTGTTTCCAATATGCGGCTGGCAGCATGGCTAAGTATCGGACTGATTCATTTGATGAGTTGGTTTATCGGTGAGGTTAAGATGAGAAGCCCTGTTTTGCAGCTGGGGGGCATTTTGGTTCACTGGAAAGCACGGCTCAAACCTGCACTGAATAAAAATGGAATGAAAAAAAAATCAGATATTCAAATGTTGTTAACCATGGAGGAATAGCTCTCTTTGAATCACTTGCTCAACTGAAAACAAGAAAAGTACTTTAGAATTTTTCTTCTGGGGTTCCGTTTTACCAAGGCTGAATTGTGAGTACCATTGTCCATCAGAGGGGGATAAAAATACAGACCTGTCAGGGGCGGATCCAGGAATTTTTGCAGGGGGGGGGGGTCAGGCCCTTCAAATTTTTTTAATCAGCAAATCAGTGCTGAAATGTACACAGGTTTTTTTTCTCCGGACATTCTGGGGGCTAGTACCATTCTTCCTATGGGGGAGCTGTTCAAAACCGACGATCAGGCACACTATATCACACAATAGTGTACAAATGCCCCCTTAAACCCCCCCTCCCCCCCCCCCCTTAGTCAAGATAATGATTCACACAAGACTCATTTGAAGGCTCTTACAATGGTAGTATCGAAAACGAAGACCCCTAAAACGAAGACCGAAGACCCACTCGAAAACAAAGACCCGTTTTCAAGTGGGTATTCGTTTTCCAATACACAAAAAAACATATGAAAAAAAGCACTTACGGTTGTCAATCATGGTAAAATGATACGACTGTGCTTTTCTTCTGTTGCCAAATTTGCAGGGGGGGGGGGCCACTGGCCAACCTCCCCCCCCCCCCCAGCTACGCCGCCATGCGGGGTATTTTTTCAATGCAATCCTTGAAACTGCATGCACCTTGTGTCCCATTTACAATTTACTCCTATTTTCCATTTTAGTTTTGCCATATTTTCATTTATTTTTGGTGACTTAAGCCTGAATGTTAAAATTATTTTAGCACAAGAAGTTGGTAGAATTTTGGATATAAAACTATCCCAAGAGCATTTTCATATTCCATTTTCAAAACAAAAGACCATAGGAATGTATCCAACGTATCAATGGAAAGCCAGTGTTCTCACCACAGGGGAACGAGTGGGGGGCTGCATTTTAAAGTGGGGGGTGGTGGTGATTTCTGTAGCATCGGTTGGGGGGGGGGGGTGGGGAGGAGAGACGGAATGTACTATTTGTAATAGGGGAGGGGAGGTGTGCAGGCTGGTTTTAAGCCACTGATAAAACATCGGCTGGTTTTAGACACATTTTCTTTTAACTGTTTCGGTCCAACATGTTAAAATCAAAATGTATAGCTCAGTGCAGAAACAAAACAAGTTTGTTGAAGGCAACGGCTAACCTGTGACCCATCTCCCTCATTGAAGTAGGACTGGGAATTTATGGATAATAGGGTAATCGGTATCCGATAAACACAAGTGCTGGATTCTGTTTGATTGAAACACAAGTGCTGGATTGTGTTTGATGGAATATCCGTAACAGAGGACAGGGGTGATGGTGGGTTTGAACCATTCAATTCTGAGCAAACCAGAAAGTTACACACTATACACTCTTCTTCACATACTCATCTTAAGGTAAAATGCAATACAACAGAATGTGACTGACACAAAATGATCACACCAGAAACAATTGTGAGATACTAACATCATGTATTTTAATATGGAACCTGAATGCAATCCATACGACAACTCCATCAGGCTATTACTGGGCAAGTCCAAGAATTCACACACGCTACGTCCCAGGAGAGTTTAACCCTCTAAAAAGCAAATAGATCAGTGCGTTTCTTGTATTCTGTTGGGCGTCTGAAAGGTGTACCCACACACATTTTTGTTATTCTTTGTGATGAAGAAGACATGGTACGCTACGTATGGGACCACAAGGGGACATTTTCTTGGACTTGCCCTACTTGCAACAACGATAGTTTTTTAAGTTATTTGTAAGAATACTCGGCCTATTAATATGTGATTACAGATATAAATGGAAGCAAGTCTTTCAATTTAAAAGTTTGTAAACAAAGAGAAACTTTCAACATTTTCAGTCACTGCAAAGCACAGAGAGTGAATTTGACACGACACTTCATTAACATCCAAACATGTCAGAATATTGTTTCTTTTTTTATAATTATATAAACAAAAATTAAGAAAAATATTACAATGCACCTAGTCAGTTGCTCTTTGTGTGTTATTTGCAAAGAAAATAATATCCTTTGTTTTCATATTTCCTTCAGTAGTTTTAATGTTCATTGAATATAATCCTGAAAACATTTACTAAAGTACCCCCCCCCCTTCAATGCTGGTCAAATCAGTTATTCCTTCATCTTTTTGCAGTTTTTAAAACTGATCTTCACACCAACTTTTGCACCGATGTTTAAACAAAATATGAACAAAATATTTAATAAAAATTCTTAAAAATATTATTATCAAAAAAAAAAGTCACTAATCTGTGGTTGGAATAATCCAAAACTAATCTGACATAAGTGCAATAATATTCAGGCAGCCTATTACACAAAATATAACATAAACATTCTTTCGAAAAAATATTTACAAAAAGTTACTTATTGGTGGTTGGAATAATCACAAAACTACTCAGGGTGAAACTTCATTGTTTGATCCGTTATACAAGCACAATTCAGCCACTATGGCCAATGAGTCTCCAAAAATATAATTTTATTTACAAAATATACGTGTGTGTTTCATTTTGGAATAAATGTAACACATCAATACAACTGTTGTCAGGCCAACATGTCTCAACTTGGAAATGGACCAAACCACCCATACAGCCTCAGAAATCAACAAATACCATATATCCACTGGGTTTTCAAATTCGTGATGTTTTCCTGCACACACGTAAAGATCTGAAGTCTACAGTAATTCTGTTTGCCACTTCAAAAAGTTTCCAGATGTGGAATCTACACTTATTCACAAACTTGAGATTGTGGTAAATCAGGAATCTTAATTGCATAAACTGCTGTTGTTTTACGAAATAGTCAATGAATAGACTTGAAACTGTAGATTCGTGCCAGATTCGCCCCGTCCATTCTTAGCACGAATCTACAGTTTCTCGTCTATTCTCACTGACCCAATCGGCAAATCAAATACACTCTAAAAAGTCTCAGGTCAGGTTCGACCTAGCCTTTAGTCAAGTCCCACACGCCTATACCCGGCCAATCCAGACACGTAATATGCTGGCTTGTAAAAAGACTAGCACGAGCGGCAAAGCCGCGAGGGCCTTTACTATCTCGTGGTACTAATCTCATATTCATTTATTTATTCACGTAATATAAATCAAGCAATATAAACCAATAATCTAACGGTGGTTTGCAGTTACCAGCAACAGCACCCGCACCATGGCTGTCTGGCGCCAGACGACGGCTGCATGATTTACGTTAGTAATTCTGCATTTTCATTGGTCAGTTCACAACGGGTAACGCATTATGCATGTCTACCAAATCGGTAGACAAATGTAAAGAAAAACATAAGCGTTCTCTGCGAGATGGTAAAGGCCGCTCGTCCTAGTCTTTTTACGTGTCAGCATCTGGGATGCGTCACGTGTCCGGGTAAGCGCGTGGGACTTCACTAAAGGCTACGTTCGACCCAAATCCGTGTCAGATTTGACCTGACACTTTTCCAGGTCAAAATAACGCTTCTCTTGAGTCACCTTTCTGGCCAGTTGACCAAGAAATATGTCATTTTGACCCAGAAGAGTGTCATTTCCAGTCTGACCCGAATGCAGGGTTATATCTACCCGGTTATATCTACCCTGTTATACTTTTTTATGGTGAACAGCTTATTGTCTTATATTACAAAGTTTTACCTTAGAAAATGTTCCTGCTTAGGATTGAAACATTAGACCCTTTGATTTTTTTGATTTTCTTGTAAAATTTCATTTCCTTTTATTGAGAATGTTATCATGTTGATATGTTATGCCTAGTACATGTAATTCAAAAGTGAGCTTGGCAAGGGAGAATTACAAACTAACCCAAAGTGATGGGAAGAGGGACCGTAACCTATCCAGTCTACCCAATATCTCGTTGCCATCAAGATTCAACACAGTCAGTCTCTGCATGTTACCTACAGCTGCGGCAATGTGTGGAGTGTCTGACCTTGTCAAATTGCAAAAGCTCAGGTCCAGCTTATTTAAGTGCTTCATTTTGGGTAATTCCTTGGCCCACAAGTCAGCGGATCCGCCCAATGGATGGTTGACGAAAAGATCCAAGTAAGTCAGTCTGGGCATGTTACCTACAGCCGAGGCAATGTGTGGAATGTCTGACCCTGTCAAACCGCAACGGCCCAGGATCAGCGTATTTAAGTGCTTCATTTAGGGTAATTCCTTGGCCCACAAGTCAGCGGATCCGCCCAATGGATGGTTGCCGAAAAGATTCAACTCAGTCAGTCTGGGCATGTTACCTACAGCCGAGGCAATGTGTGGAATGTCTGACTGTGTCAAATCGCAAAAGCTCAGGTCCAGCTGATTTAAGCGCTTCATTTTGGGCAATTCCTTGGCCCACAAGTCAGCGGATTCGCCCA